TCAGTTCTGAGGAAGGGTCGCTGGACCCGAAACGTTAACTCTGTTTTCTCCTTCACAGATGCTGCCAGACCTGCTGAGCTTTTCCAGCAACTTTGTTTTTGCTCTTGGACTATAACCTGGTGTCACGTGACTTCTGACTTTGTCCACCCCAGTCCAATATCAGCACCTCCATATCATGGCCCTTATTTTATGCCATCTTGCGTACTCTTTTCCCCCTCCAATGCTCCGATGAATCACAGGCTGCACTGATGTTACCCAGCAGGGTAATGAAACGTCTGCGGAACAACAAACCACAACGCTGTTACTATGCTCTAGATCAAGGGGTGTTAAAATGCAAAATGGGAACCAGAAGGGGAAGCCTAGAGACAGAGTTTAGTTACAATGCAGTAGGAAGGGCCCTCAGGCAAGATTCTTGAGGAGTGACATTACCTCTGCCATCCTCCTTGACATCGGCCATTCTGCAACATGGATTGCGTCCACTCACCAAGGCTTTGTGGTTATAAACAAAATGCACCTTACACACAAGTATAAGGGATTCACAACAGTGAACATTTGCAATTGTATCAAAGAGGTGCTATTAACAATGGATCTGATGACAGCAAATTTTTAATGTCTACAAATTGACAGTATTCTTACCTGGTCCACGTTACCACAACTTCACCATTCCTCTTGATGATATTTTTAGCGGGAAGACTGGTTGGTGGTGACTTGGCTGTAGACTGGGAAGGACTTCCCATTGCTTTCTTTGAAGAAGTGACTACTGTTTTACTGGTGAAAGCTTTCTTAGCTGAAGATGAGGATGTTTGTTTGCGTTTGCTTTCTTTGTCTTTGCTCTTGGTGCTTTTAAAAAGCTCATTCTCTTTTCGTGGTCTTTTCACAGTGGAATCTGCTTTCACATTACACTTCCTCTTCCTGCTACTCAAAGCACCACGGTCGGAAACAGTTTCTGTACACGTTGCCGCGGTCAATAGGACACCCTCATCATTGTCACTGGGAGTTTTGAGTGAAGGCTCCACATTTATGTGCTTTTCGATTGATGGTCGATCCTCCTCAGAATGAGGCAGTTTTACGTCTGCATCTATTCCCAACTTTTTGCTGTTATCTTCTGGACGTCTTACAGTTAAAGACTGATCATGACTCGATTCCAGCAGTGTCCGATCCTGACCAAGCACTTCACCCCCACTGCTGCAGGACGCTGCGGTCTTACTGACCGTCTCTGTGCCAAGGTCATTGTTTGGTTCCAGCTCAAATCCCAAGTTCTCTTCTGCTGCCACAGGTGAGCTTTGCCGAGTAGATTTGCTGCCAGGGGGCCTGCATCTAATCTTAACAATGAAATGATCGTTTGATTTTTCCATTACAACTGCCTGCATTGGGGGATGGAGATGATACTGACAAGGGGAGGCTGAAGTCTGTTTGTTCCACATTGAAGAATTGCTTGATTGGCTGCTTGAATTATCCGAGTCCAATGCTAAGTGAATATCTTGCTCTGACGCATCCTCTTCATCGAGAAGAGCACTTTCACTGTAATGTGCAGTCAAAATTGCTTTACTTACTCCCTCATGCAAAGATTCCCCATTTTGAGATGTTAAGAAGCTGATCTGCCCATCTGATTTCAGAGGTGAGGGGACGGTAAGAGAAACCGCCAGATCCTCCACAAGAATAGAGGAAACAGAGGAACGTGCTTGCTGAACTGAGCTACTTTCAATTATCTTTTGGCTATTTGAATCTTCATGTGGACTGATCGCAGAATCTTTGGTTTGCATCACCTTATCTGGAATTTCCAGCATGCAACTTTCATCTAGAATGTCTAGATCAAGTGGTGGTCTTAACCCGACTGCATGTGTGTTTGGTGTAACAGGAGGCCAAGTAGCAGCATCCAGCTGGGACACAGGTGGAGGTTTCTCAGAATTGGAATCATTACTCAAAATCTGTGCTCCGATGTCAGGCCGTACCTTTTCTGGGACAGGCCAGGAATTACATTCCAATGTTGTAATCCCTTGGTCCAGGAGGTCTGAGCCCTGTAATAAACACTTGAATATCTCACCCATTTGTGCATCACTTACCAGGTTAAATGTGAGAGTGGAGGCCTGTTGTTCAGTTAGAATGCCAAGTTCAGTTTTATCATGGCAATCTTTCACAGTGTTGGAATTGGTTGGTGGATCGATCGAATTCACCTGATTCACTGACAGTTCATGTTTGCCTTTTGTGCTAGGGTCTTCTTCCTTGGGGATACCATTAGCTGAACATACTGCACTCTTCTTTGAATGTTTGTTTAATACCGGAGTTCCTTTCAGTTTCTTGTCAAGATTGGCTGGTTTATTTTTACCAGAGTTTTTTTTGCTTGACGAGTTATTTGTCAACGATGGCCTTGAAGAAGGGGGGGATCCCTTCAACTTTGGTAATTTGTTAAATTTGTCCTTGAACTGTTTAACCACTGTATTTTTCTTCTGTTTTTTGTTCAACTTCTCATTTTCCCTTTTCTCCTCTAAGGCCAATTCTAGACTTATACTCTCACAAGAGATAAACATCTCACGCACCTTTCCAAACATAAAATCAAATTGCTGGTCCACAAACAGCCACAGTTTTTCTTTCATGTTTGGGGCCTGCTGTGAGAAAATACTATTTACAATCCCATTGCACTTGGCTTGCAATAGGATGCTTTCAATTTCTGCACAGATTGAGGCCTTTAATGGCCGTCTGGATTTTGGAAAATTGGACCTTTTAACAACAGAGATGAAGTCGGCAGAAGCAATTTCAACTATCCGCTGAAACTTGTGGATTTCAAACTGTTTATGCAGCTTCATGTATTTTTTACGGATGGTCTTGCGAGCAACCATTAAGGCTCCCATCAAATTTGAGACTGATGACTTAATCTGATCTCTTTCCACGGAACTGGGGTTGAGAATTTCCACATCAGCATTTTGGTCTGAAGTCACCTTTTCTGATTTCCTTTGCTTTTTACTGCTCTTTATTTTAGTCATTGTCTCAGAGCAGTTTAGAGTAGACACTTCAGGATTTACCAATCTTGCTTCTTCTTTGGGTTTGCCTTTACATGGATTATGCTTCTCTTTGTTGCTCTCTTTCTCCATCTGCATGTTACTCACTGCTTTCTGCACTTCAGGTACAGATGCCTCCTCATCACTCACAATCTCTCCTTCTTCTATTTCTTCTGAAAAAGAATTCTCTAACAAAATCCCCAATACCTTTTCTCCTGTCTTGCACAATGGTTCCTGATTTTCTTTATTCAACTCTCGAGTGCAATTTCTTGAAGAACAATTACCTTGGAATTTCAGGGCAGAATCTAAATGAGGACAAATGTGCAAAGAAATTAAATAGAATTCATAATTCAAAAATAATTTGAACATCTCTTGCACTGATCCACACTCAAATGAAGTAGAATACAGAAAACCCTTTTCACCATGTCACGAAAATGAACAATTCACATCATGCTAACTTTAAATAACAATCTAGCATTTGATGGTAGGAACAGTTAAGAAATTCAATTAAAATTGCACCAAATTTTAAGCATGCATAAATCACACTTAGACATGCATGGGGTAAATTACTCAAGCTTTTCAAAATTAGCTGAACTAGTATCATTCCAGGAGAGATGGTCAGATGAGGACTTTCAGATCCATACGGAATTTCAGAAATCCAAGCACAGTTTTCTGTAGTGGTTGACTTCATGTAAATAGCTGCAAAAATATTGTCATTCATAACCTTGTTTCCTTTAAGATAATTGATATGTGCCTCTTTGAAAGTTAAGAAAGATGCTTTTCTGGGCATGTGTTAATATTTGACTAGATCCCTGGGACAGTGCTGTTGAGAAGGAGGCGGACAAAGCAGTTGGGTTGGCGGTGCAAGAGAATGAAGCAAGTTACAAAATAACCTCACACGGCTTCTAGAAGAACTTGTTCGTGGTGCAGTTCACATTACAGACATCACTTTCGGAACTTGAAGGAAAATCTAGTCACAAAGTCAATAATGTAGCAAGACAGGTAAAATTCCAATTTACATGACCAGCTCTCAGTCCAATAGAGAGTGTTGATCCCTCCAGCATGTTGTTTCAAAAAAAAAAGGATCTTTTGGGGAGGAAGTGACGGAACGAAGTGTGAAAAAAATCT